TTTAAAAGAGAGAGAGAGAGAGAGATCCACTTAAGTCGTTAAAAATTTAAAGAACTGTCGTTAAATGTCTTACCTTTTAACGGAATTTCTCCTGTTTTTTTTAGTAAAATATAAAAGAAATTATACGCTTTTAACGATTTTAGTTTGCCACCTGTACAAGACAAGTCACTCTATTGTCCTTTTATTTCGGTTGTCCTTTAGTTTTCGTTGCTCTTTTATTTTATTTTTCCTTCTTTCTACCCTCACTTTCATTGCCAATGGCTCTACACCTTCAGGTGTAGACTCGTAAAAGTTTTCAGTAAAAAAAGGACAAAACAAGAAAACAATACCAGCATAAAAACTTGCTTGAAAACAGTATTAAAACTCCAACACAAGTTAAGTTATATTCCTTTCGTTTTCTGATTTAATGTTATTTTTCATCATCCCGTTGAATTTAATTAAAAAAAAAGGAGGAGGACATCTTTTCAAAACTGTAAATTAAGTTTACTACAGTTTTTCTTTTAAAAAAAGGAACTAAACGTGAAAAAAATGTCTTCTTTATTAAGCTTTGATTCAATCAAAGTTCAAGCATTGTATACGACTAAACAGAAAACTTCGACACAAAATCTTGTTTCATGAATTATTTTTCCATGAATTAGTATTAATCTTGCTTTAAAATAACTCTAAAAACAAAATTGAATAACCTACGTCACTGTTTATGCTTAAAAAATATTTATTTTCAAAGAGTCAAGCTTTAAACTTCGTGCTATTTGAATTGCTAATTTATCATTAAATATATCATCGTGATGAAAATCTACAATGGGACAAGCATAAATATTGATTTAAACAATTTAATTAATAATAGAAAGGTAAATTTTATATTTTTACAAATGAATTTTAAAATTTATACAATAAAATATTTGTTTATAATTTATAAATTTATCGTTTTAATTTAAAAAATAAAATAAACAATTCTTTAATTAAATTACATTTATTAACCAGAAAATTTGTTTAATTTTATGAATAACCGTAAATTACGTAACAATAAATTATTTCCAGTTCTTGATTGTTGAAACTGATTACATACATAAGTCTATTTACTGTAATTTATTAATTAAATAAATAAATTATCACATGGTTTGCGTGTAATCCATTACAACAATCGAAGGAAAATGATTTATTTAATCATAATTGAATTCAAGGTCAGAAATTCGCGAAACTGATTGAAATTACTAGAAATTGAACAATATAATGTTACCAGAAAATTAGTTTTAAAAGTAACTTACCGGAAAATCGGTAAATTTTATCGGAAATTCGGTTTAAAAGAAAGAAAAAAAAATATGTTTCAAGAGAGGGTAAAACATCTGGATGAATCAATGAAGTACTGGTACGAGAAGACATACTAAACACAATTAATCGAAAAATCGATTTAGCTAGTAATTAACCTAAATATATTTCCGTAAAATAAATAAATATAATAACCACTCGTTACAGTAATTCGTAAATGTTCTATTTTATTAAATTTTTTTTTAAAAAAGTTTAAATTATTATTATTTTTTATTATTATTCTTTCTATTTTCGAGTACAGCAAATCTACTTTTAATTATTCGACACTCTTAAATATTTTATAAAATATTCTTTTCTCATTTAAAGTATTTATCTCATTATAGTTAAACGATTATATATATTACTGTACAAGAAATAAATTCTGAAAGGTTTAACTTTATTGCATTCCTTTATCGTTTTTACAATAACGTGATCAGTTTTCTGGTCTAGGTTATAATCGAATTTTATGTAGCAAGATATTATTACTTTTATATCAAATTTGGAGTGTTTGTAATAGTAGTTAGTAGTGTTAGTAATTGTAATATGCCTAATTAATGTTTGCAGTTAGTAAGCATAAATTCTATTGCTTATTTTCAAGAGTTCTCGTGTTATATTTTTCTAAATTTTACATTATTTTAATAATTTTTACAAATTAAATAAACTCAAATTCTTATTGCTTCTTGCAGGTAATTTTACTAGAATTATGGAAATTACTCTTATGACAATTTAATTATCTGTTTCAAACTGAACAACAACAAAAATAAATTTTTTCTTCCTTTTTTTTTGGTTTAGTACAATAACCAAGAGGAAATTTAGTAGAAAATGTGTCCCTATAGGTAATACGTGACAGATTTTCTGCTATCTATTTTTTAAACAAGCTATTTCTCTGCGGCAAACCGCACGACAACAGAAAAGCGATTAGAAAAGGGAGGGAAGAAAAAAATTATCCTGAAAAATTTTCAACTCGTCATTTTTATAAAAATAATTTTATTAATATGAAGCAGTTTTTTTTAATATATTCCTTAAATTTTTCACTTTATGGACAACTATTTTTTTATATATTTAAAAGAAAGAAGAGGATTTTATAAAAACTAACAGGAAGAAAATTCTTTCTTTATCCATTTCGTCAATGCACCATCAATTTGTAATTACCTTCCTGACAAGTTATTGTGTCCATTTTCACCTTAGGGCTGTTTCCTCCTCAGCATCATCTTTGCTTTAGTGCAGTTTTATAACTTCAACAAGTATAACTATCTTTATTTTCCTATTTTCTGGATAGTAGCAGGTGCAATTTTCTCTCAAGGCAGATGATTTTTTTCTTCCCCTTCCCTTTTCTTTAAGATAAAATCCATTCTATTTTATTATTCTAAAGCTATAATAGATATTCTACACCTGGATGCAAACCATACGGGTTTTGGGTGATATTTAAATATTTACCATATATTTACAGCGTGTGGTACAAAGTATGTTTTTTAAACACGAAATTCTCTACGTGCAACAGAACTTTCACTGTATATAAGCATTATACATGTATGGTGTATCTATATATATATTTTTTCCTTTCTATAACCCCTGAGATTTTTTATATACAGAACATAACTTTAACGTTTATTTTATATGCATTTTTACTTATTAACAACTACATTTTATGTATGGGAGATTGATAATTTAGATAATTACGGATGGAAAATATTAAAAGAATGAATCTACATCATTAGTCTAAGAAATGATTATTCTTTTATTATTTCTAATATTTATTAAAGTGGAATTTTTTTTATTTTAATCTAGGAAAGAAAATAATTATGTAGCAATATTACTTTCCAATTAAAAATTGCAAAATTTGATAAAAGATTGGAAGATAGATGAGTATCATCGACATTTAATCTTTGTCAGGTAACGTTTACCTTTTTCTAATCACTATCAGGCTAATTACTCTCAGAAAACTATATTCTTTTTATTTTTATTTCTCTTGGATATAAAATTACTGAAGAGTAGTAAATTACAAGATTGACATGGTTCTTGTAATTTCGATAAAAATACAATTTTTTGTCATATTGATGTATGGATCATTATAATCCTATTCATGGCATTATCGACTGGAAGAAAGGAAAAAAAGAAAATTGCAGAGAAGAAAATACACAGTACTAGAATCCTCTCCCCTTATTTTTAAATGGATACTTAGATAAAACTCCCATTGATACCACTATTAAATTTATATAAATTATTATCATTGATATATCTTTGATAATTTTATCATTAAGAAAAGTTGATAAGAATCATCAATTATATTAACTTTATAAAGTAATACGATTGTACCAATGGAAGATACCATTGTATTTCTTTCATTATATTACTTCTAAATTATTATTATTAATTTGATAATTTTATATGGGATCATTAAGGAAGTGTGATAAGAAACATTATTAAAAATATCAAGATTTAATACATTAATATTCATTATATCAGCGGGAGATATCACTGAATATCTTTCATATAAATGATATTATTATTATATCTTATGTCATTAAGAAATTGAGATAAGGATCATCATTAATATTATTACAAGAGATTTAATAAATTTAATAATTATTATTGTGCGAGTATATCAATAGAAGATATCATTATATATCTTCCATTATTATAACTTTTAAATCGATATAAATAATTATAATTAATATATATTTGATAATTTTATTCTTTTTCGTCAACAGAGTGTAAGAATCATCATTCATATTATAATAAAGTATCAAGGATTTTAATAATATTAATTATAATTTTTTTAAATTAATTTTGTTTAAACGTTAAGAGATTATTTTAATTATATTATAATTAATATTATCTGGCTCGGTTTTAATTAATTAATTTTAATGAAGAGGAGTTGTAAAATTCCTTTTTTTCTTCTTTCTTTCTTTCTTCAGCTTTTAGAATTTTAATGTTTATTAAATTTTTTCGTGTGTTTTGCCTTTATTTTTTAATTAAAAAATTAATATATGCGAAGTTACAAATTAAAAGACGAATTATTTAAATGGAAATTTGAAGTAAAAGTTAATGAGATAAATTTATAAAATAAAATGTAAAAAAATTTTTAAATGGATGAGAGAAAATTTATTTTTAGTAATGTATTTTTTATAAGAGAAAAATATAAAGAAAAAAATATTAGAAATAGAATTTATATTTTGAATATTTTATTATAAAAATAAATATTTTCTAAATTTTATCAAATTAAAATATTTTTAAAAACAATTATTATTTTAATGAAAATTAAAGTAAAAATTTAAGGATAATCGATTTAAAATTTGAATAAGATGAAATACATTTATAGATTTTAATTTTCTATTATTCGGATGTGTTCTCCTTGTACAACATTATAAAGCATTATAAATAAAATATCCTTAGCGAAGCGTGCAACAAGGGGATATAGAAAATAACACACGAGATCTTTCCTCTTAAATGCATTCTAGATAACTGTTATCAGGAACATCCATTTGTGGGCTTTGCGAAGGACATATCCGGACAGTATACCCTTAACCGGAACTTCTGTGACGTCTTTTGCTCGTGCTGCAACGTACCATTTTTCACGTGATTCTCTCTCTCTCTCTACCTCTACTGTCATCAAATATCAGAACAAAAGGCATTGTCCTCAATTCTGCAATCGAGACAAACAGATGATTGCACTAGTCTATGTTTGACTCTAAGAGATTTTCCAATATATACTTCACTGTTAAGATAAAAATTACATTGATCTATAGCTTTATTTTCGTCTCATCACGTGATACTTAAGGCCTTCTGTACACGTGAACACGCAAACTAGTTACCAGTTACTCGCTCTTTATTATAATGAAGTACTACCTATATTTTCTTTTAAAAATGTCAAAGTATTAACGGGTGAATGAATAATTCAATCGCCGTTATCTTTATGGGTTTGCGCTTGGACTAATACATGTGACCGTGACGTAATTCAGCATATCCTATTGGCTGCAAGTTAGAACATAAGGCACGTGGAAGACACGACCCACTCACACCATGTGTTGGACGGAGAGTGCACTTTCAACATGGCAGCTAGTCAGGCAGCCAATACATCTCGCTTACTGTACGCTCTGGTGCTGTTACTCTACGTAGGACTGATAATCAATGCATATTTTACAATAAGGATTTACACGTCATTAAAACACGAATGTGAAACTGTTAATCACATAATAGAAGATGATAATTCGCATAAGAGAGCCAAGAGAGATGCTGCAATTGATGTATCGCCATCGGATGAATCGCTGCTGCTAACATCCTATTCCAAGTTATCTGTAAGTTTGCTCCTTCCTATTTATAACCTTATTTTCATCCCCTTAACGTGTAAATTAATTCACTTTCGTAAGAATTCACATCCAAATTTCTCTTTACTGTACGTATCTAGATTAAATTATATCTGAATTGTTACAGATACGTCACATCCCTTAGCGTAAATAAATTACCATATTTAGGAGGACAACAGACCAAAATAAAATTTTCTCCGCTTTAAAGAACAATCAAATCTATCTAAATTATTAATAAATAATTTAATTTTGATATCGTAAATTAATATTTTATTTCTTGGAAAGTTAATTATTTATGGCTTCGACGTAATAGCGTTTTATGGCTGTGTCCACTACCTTCGTTGGTTACACTACTCAAATTTATGAGGTTAGGAATGTGCTTTCTCACCTGACTAATACTTCCTATCCACTTTTAAAAGTCAATAATTTCAAAGCTTTATTGCTTTTTTTTTGTTAGATGCCTGTAAATAAAACAAATTAGTCGATAATATTTGAAATTCTATTATACCTTTCACCTGAAATTTGCTTTGCATATCATTTATCTTGGTTTGTTCCACTGCTACACCTACCTGCCACCTACTTATTAGCATTTTAATTCATTTAATTATGATATAACAATCGGTACTTACGAGAATTCCAGTGGATTTTAAAATTCCTCGACTGGAAAAATTATATAAAGGGTGATAAAATAGTTTCTATAAATGTATAAACACGGACAACATTTAAAATGCGTAACAATATAACCGAATAATCTGTGTTTATTTTGTCGTAACACATTACGTGACTCGTTTAATTATTGATTAGTGTTTCCTCATTAAATAATGATTTTTGATAGATGAAGTGTATGGTACAGATTCGGGCAATTCAACAGTTTCTCACTACGTGACTGTAACATGGCCTGACTTGCTTTATTGATTACCTAGATACTTCCTCCATCATATGATTCCACAGCGTAAACATAAGTATCCCCCTATATATCTGCATAATACAAGCACTTTAACATACAACTCGTAGTACACATATGTAATTTTATATTGTAGAAATGCAACTACACGAACGACCAATCTGCAAAGATAATTAAATGTTCTCCACTCTATTTTTATCCTCATAAAAATACGCTTTAAAAAATAAGTAAAGAAAAAGAATTTAATTTTTTCCTTTTATTAGGTTTAAAAAACTCGCCTCGACTAAATGTTTCTATAAAATCTAATGTCGAGCTTGTCCTAATTTAATAATATTTTATCAATTTTCTTATAGTATTTAAAATATTTCAGTAAGTTTAACTTAAATCTAATTAGTCGAGTAGTACTTTATGAGAAAATGTATAAATAACGTACTATAAAAATAATAATTTCTATGGATTTTTATTATTATTATTTTTTTTTAAATCTGTACGACTTTTAAGTTATTAGTTTTTACCCCCCCCCCTTCTACACTTTTTACTTTTCTAGATTGATTGAATTTCTTAGGAGTAAAGTGGTATTGCGGTTCAGAATATTGCTTTTTATTTCTTTCTACAGTGAAGAGCGTAAATGAAACTACTATAGAGCTTTTATTTAAAGGTGTTTTTAGAGGTAACAAGTTTCTTTCTGAAGTTTTTCTTCAGCTGTTACTAATGCCAGCATACAGGAAGGTAGATGAGATTCCATTGCTATAGATGGATCTCATCAGGTAGTCCTCTCAACATTAATTCGCTTCAAGGATTTTATTCAACGCATTGGCTCTCATTTGAATACAAAAGTTGTGTTTATGCTACAATGAGCCGCGCGCACACACTTGTTATAAAACCAAATTTTTTAACTTTATGACTTCTAGAAAAAAAAAACTTCCAACAAAATTCTATTCTATACTGTATAACTTTTAAATATATTCTTTACTTTAGGAGAAAATTATGCTGTTTTTAGTTCTATTTATATATTATTATGATAATTATTTACAGTTTTAAAGGTGTTTTTTAAATGTTTTAAGATTGTGGATAATTATTTAAAAATTTATAAAGAAATTTTTTTGTAAATTCATCATTTTAAATAAATGGCACGGATGTGTATGCAAGTTTACTGTAACATATACATTAAAGCGTATTTTATTTATTTTCCTATAAATAACCTTCATTTATGCATATATATCCAGTAAATATTTGTATTTTTCTTTGCTCGGTATGTTTTTATTCGTTTTTTATCAATATTTTCCTTACTCCTTTATCTAGCAAACGATAATATTTCTTTCATGCGAAATGTTTTTCTAGTATTAAAATTAATATAATATATATAATTAAATTATATAAAACTCAATGAGAAATAATACCCAAGGTAAATCTATTTAATAACTTAAAAATGTACAAAAACTATGCAAAAATTTTTTTAAATTTCTAAGCGAATAGTTTAAATAAATGCATTTTTAAATATAATTTGTAAATTTAAAACGTTCGGTTGCGACGCGACGACGCGAAAGTTGCGACAGTACGCGACGCGAACTATAGACAAAAATGTCAATAACTTCTGTTTCTTATATTAGACTGTCCTGAAAATCGATTAACTTACAGAAATGGAGAATTTTTGATACAAAATATCGTGTTTTGTTACTTTATTCTGGTTTTCTCAATTATAACAAAGCTGTTAAACAGATATATTAACACAAAAAACGCGTAGACATACAGACAGATGTCGATTCAAAAACACGTTTATTGATCACAATACACACACTTTTACTCATAAACAATGCTTTTTCTCATATCTACTAAACATTACAGAATCAAATATTAATGAACTGAGAAACATCGTTAATATTTTATAATAAATATTCATGAATATTCCTTTAGATTATCAAACGCGAATATTTTTATTTTGTTGTTTCTTATGAACGATATTCAAAAAATTACTTATATATTTTCTCTCCTTTTTATCTCTTAATACTTATTTTTGTTTTATTTTCCATAATATTGTGATCCTTAAAAATATTTTAAACACAATTATATCTTTTATTTTTCCTTAAAAATATTAATTTATATTCCTTTAGCTTTATATTTATATCTTTGATTATGTTTTAAATATTCTCTACTTCCTTTGTCCTTAAATATTTTTCCTGTTTTATTTTCTAAAATTGCTTGGTCCTTGAAGATATTTTAAAAGTAATTCTTATTTTATATTGTTTCTTTAAAATATTCATTTTCTTTCTAACTTTATTCTTACATCTATTTTTAATATTCTTATGCTTAATATCTATATGCTTCTATATACTTTTATATACAATCTCTATTTTTGGTACTTATACGTTAAATATCTTTCATATTTTCTTCGCTTCTGTATATAACCTAGGATATTGTTTTCACTTGCCTCCCTCACTTCTACATACAACTTTGAATATTCTTTTCAATTCTCTTTCTCACTTCTATATGCAACCTTGAATATTCTTTTCTATTTCTCTTTCTACCTCTATATACCATCATAAATATTCTTTCACATCCCTTACCTACTTTTACATAAAACCTTGAATATTCTTTTCACTTCTCTTCCCACTTTTATATACAATCTTAAATATTCTTTACACTACTCTTTCCTACTTCTACATGCAACCTTGAATATTCTTTTCTATTTCACTTTCCCACTTCTATACACCATCATGTATATTCTTTCACTTCTCTTCCCCATTTCTACATACAACGTTGAATATTTTTGCGTTTTTCTTTCCCACAAAATCCTTTAAAAATAATATTTTTCTTATAATTCTCCTTTAAAATATTACCTATTTTTCTTACTCTTCTTGAGTCCATTATCGAAACTCTTATATTCAATACAGTTTTTAGTTTAGTATCCATCATATTAATTAATATTTCTTTGAGTTATATTTACATATACCTTTAAATCTTCATTTTTATTCTACATTTCACAATAGTACGATGCTAAAAATATCTTAGATTGCAATTTTTGTCTTTATTTCTCTTTAAAAATATTAATTTTCCTTCCAGTTCTCCTTCCTTCATCCATTATCGATATTCTAATGTTCACATTCTAACAGGTTCTTGTACTATGTTATTTAGTTAGTTAAAAAAAAAAGGTAGTAACTCGAAACGAATTAAGACGATAGAACAAAAAGATAGACCCTTTTTTTCCTTTTCTTTTTTAAATAAAAAGGATTCGATTTTTCACTTTATAGTAAAAAGTAGCAAGTTTAAATGTCGTAACTTGTACGTCAATCAAAGTCAATACAGGTCAATGTTTTGAAAATTCTTTACTTGAAACTGAATGCATCAACGGAATTCATTTGTAAATGTTATTTGCTTACTAAACAGTAATTTAATTTCGCTTAAATCTTTTATTTTTTGTGGAAATAATGCTTATACATTAGTTAAATTTAGTATATTTTGAAAAATGAAAAATTTGCAACATGTTTTTATGATACACATTACAGAGAATAAGGGCTGTAATTTTCAATATGTACATTTACAGCGGTACACAATATAAATACATTTCATAAAATATTATATATATTTATGAATATGTTTTATATATGAGTGCAATAAATATTTATTTTTCCTCTTTTTTTTAAATGTTTTTATATCTATTTTTGATATTGTTCTTGGACTTTTTAATACCAGAAAAATATTTTCCTGTTATTCTTACTTGTTTGTTTGCTTTTTCGTTGGATTTATGTTTCACATCGGTTTGTAGTTTCTTTGTGAACATATTTTTCACTTCAGTTTCCTTTTCTTAAAGTATTTTTTCAACATCAATTTCCGCTTCTTACGTATTTTTTTCATAGAAGTTTATAGATACTTTTTAAATCTTTTCCATCAGAAAATTGCTCATTTCACTGCTGATGATAAAAATGAGTAAATTTCATTTTTTAATTTGAAATTTTTTGACAAAATTTTGAATAATATACATGTTCCTGTGCCTATTTATCATTAACTCGTTTTACAGCTGTTATACGTATAAACTTTATTTTAAAACTTAAAAATTTTTATGGTATATGTTTTAAAAAAGTGTATATAA